ATCAGTTGAATTTTTCTGAAAATCTTTCGACGTCATTGGATCACTGATTTTGTTCTTTTCAACCCGATCCTAATTACCAATAAATGAAATGCGTTATCATCGACAAAAGAACCTATATCAGCTTGGTTATCATCCGTAAATGAAAGCATTATTGAAAATTACAATTTAGGTATTAGTCTTACATCTTCTTCCCTCGGTACAAGGATAGCGTAACCAGCAGCCTGCATTCGGGACGGCCAGTCAGATTACATTACGAAATTGCACCAGGTAAATTTGGGATCATTCAATCGAATACTTTCCGTCCATGCGTATGAGTACTTCAGTCAAGGGAAAATGAATGATCCAAATTTGTTCAATCCCACCCGAAACTCATCGTATTATGTGAACTCATGTTTCGCGTTTCATGTTCACCCAAGAACAAATGTTTCGTTTTTTATCCTTTTCATTGTGACTAGAAATTGGTTCAACCTCATTGTATTATTTATGACTGCAATACAAAATACAACCTTGAAACAACCCACTCGCAGTTTGTTACCTGTAAGTGCCAAATTTACTTCTCGTATTGTGAAGCTCATGAGATTTGTTTCTTGGCAGGAAGACTGACAGGAAAGATTGCTGATATAACTGGTGAAGGATTGCTCGAACTGATAAATCAAGATAACAACTTCGAATCTTGGCTGGCAAATTTGGAATGCTTTACTGACTCACCCCGCCGGACCTCATGAATTCGGCCGGATTTATTGTGAGAAAGTATTCCCCTATTCTGAACAATCGGAGATCGTTTTGGATTAAGTGCCAACTGATATCCATAATTGTGTGTCAGTTTACACTAAAGATAAAAAGCGATCGAGAGAAACAATACGAAGGATGAACAGTACGCCTTCATTTGTAAATATCGGCCCTTGAGTTGGAGTGGTGGTTTTGTCCGATGTGGACTTTTGTAATGGAAATTCACGCACCTCCGGAAGATATATGCTTATCCCGACATCGTCTAAGGTTGCTTTCACTATGAACACAAAATTTTTCTTGGCGTCGTGAGCGTTTCGATGGGTTTTTCAAACTTCGTAAATACCACCACTGGATGATCCGGCTGAAACACAATATCTGAGGTATTCATTTTTTCAATGCATCAAATAGCGGCCATTTGATCCCCTTATTCGGCAACTTTTTTTGCTGTTTCATTAACCGCTTGAGTACATTGACGGTTATATTACAATGAAAAGAGATTTTCAGAACATATAAATTGTTTGCATGCTGAACCGTTAGAGGAGCTCTGCTCCTAATCGCCTGCAGTTTGAAAGGATTTGGGGAAGTGATGGAACATTTTTCTCTCAGTTAGTTTCTGTGCCGCAAATTCAGGCTAAATTCTAAAACGTAAGACTTCATTAGATCACTGTGTTGCGAATGAGCGTAGTCAGGAAGTGCTTTGTGCCTGCGCATATTGTAAACGGTCGTCTGTAGTCAGTACTTTACAGCAGATAATTCACTGAGTGTTGTGAACAGTGGTTAGAGGGCAGTTGGCAGATTCTGACGAGCAATTTTCAAATACATGGCCAGGATTTCAGCAAATTTACCGAGAAAACAATGCAAAAGAACGCTTGAAACACCCTTGATATTCGAAAACGGGAGCAATACTCTGTCAAACGCTCAACAACCTAAGATTGCTTATTTGATATGACAAGATGCGAAGTTACTTTTAGCATTTTAAAACGTGTGGTGAGCACCCTAACTGTGAATCGATGGTGATCGTCATACATTCTTCTCAACATTCACTCAATTTGGCTGTCATTGTAATGAGCTGACCGACAAAGAGCAAATATGTATTCACACATTTGGATGAATTTGGGCTGGAAATACTGGCCCAAAATAGAGAGCTTATCAATATGCGGCAGATCACTGGAAATGTTATTGAATTTCTGGGTTTATTTATTAGAACTTAAGAGAACGAAACCGTTGACTTATCTAATAGGGTTGGTGAGCACATGAAGCGACAGGACAGCTTCGTGAAGCACTCGTTAATTATACACCGAAGGTTTGAATATTTCCCTACCCAGTAGTTGGTACTGGTTTGTGTTTGTAAGATAATCACACAGTAATGCAACGGGAGCTCGTGGTAAGCAATGCTTCCATTTTATTGAGTAGGAACGGATGTGAATCAGAACCAGGCATAGATGAGTATTCTAGGGAGGCAAATTGAGCAGAATTCGATGATACTTTCGGGGACTTGGGCAGAAAATGGACTAGAAAAGCAATATCACCCAAGGTGAACCTAAAAGGGGACGGTCGGTAGCATTATTGTAAAAATTCAAGCATCTAAAAATGACTCTCTGTGTCATTTTATTAACAGAAGACGTGAGAAAATTTGAAACAATATAGTCGCCTAAAACTCTTTAGTCGCATACATTCAGTAGTGGAATAATTGCGATGGGTCTCAAGCGTTGATGATATAGAGGAAACACATTTACTTGAAAGTGACGTAACTAAATCTGTAACATCACTGTCAACATTTCATATCTATAATGGTGATATGCCATCAGGAGCTGTATCTGAAACTGTTTGAGTTGTACGGAACAAGTTAAGCTTTTCTCCTCCAGAGAAGAAGATTGAGTGCACTCCATATACAAGGAAAAATGAAGATGAAGAGTTGTTTATTGGGTGATTGAATGTAATCTTGAAACTAATGCCCAGAAACTCGCTGGTTGTTTGCTGCATTTTCATCCCATAAAAATTGATCCTCACATTAGTATAAATATTCCCTCATCCTCACGTCTCTTACAGAAGTCGATCAACTCAGAGGGGCAGCACATGACAAATATGAAGTCTGTACTCCTTTACTTGTTCCTGTAGGACAAAGTACATTGGTCGTACGACCAGACACTTGTCCGAACGCGTCCGCGAACTCCACCCAGCTTGGTTGAACACTGATGCA